TTAAAAACGGCATTTTACCGAGAATTCCGTGACACCGGCGGCGACTACATCGGTAACTCGATTTATCGGTAACTGGTATAAGGTATGGCGAGCGGAGCACGATACAAAGCCACTATTACTCCCTATTGGCTCCTTAATTCCCGATTCCGAAGACGCACAGTTGATCCTCGGTAACACACGCACAGAGACGAGAAATCCAAAATCGATGTGCGGCGACATCGGTCAGCGGCTTAGCTTGGGTGTAGTCGTAGCGGAACGTCGACGTTCTGTACCGTCGACAAATTCGGTGTCGCATTCTCGGAAAGTCACCGATGTAGGGATAGAAACTGATCGAGGAAGGGGGTTTTAAGGTGGAGTCAAAGGGAACGAAAGAGAGAGAGAGAGACACGAGGATGGAAGACTAGCAAGTAAAACAAAGAGAGGGAATTCCTCGAGCAGGAGTATACCTTCTACGAGAACACACACTGGAATGACACTCGCGTATATTGACTCATACACTTGCACGTGAGCTTACAAAGCGTATACGCATAGTAGCGGCCTCTTGAAGTCACCGGTAGAAGGGTACGGAGAAACCGTGAGGAGAGGAGTGAGAGTTGCGCGCGGCTATGTGTAGACCGCGGTGTTAACAAACGGTACACTAATGTTTCACGTCTCGGTGTGCCTCGCCGTATGTTTCTATCTCGCTCCAGCTTGCGGGAACCTCTTTGTTCCACAATGTGTTCCTCCGTCGACGTCGCCGTGGCGAGCAAGAGCGCGAAGTAGTAGCTCAACGTGCTGCGCACACTGCGGGGTGATGAGAAAGGCAGTGGCACGATTTGGTGGTAGTACGAGTAGCTTCGAACATAGAAGAGGGGGTAGAGAAAGGTGGCAGAGGCGGGGCAAGGTTAGTCCGCGCCCACGGAGGGGAAAAAAGCCGAGCTCCGCACCCACCACGGTGTATTAGAGGGGAGACGAAAGAAGTGTGGAAGGGGACAATTTATCCAGTTACCACTTTCTCTCTTTCTCTTATGCACTACCACAGAGATTCGTTTAAGCGAGAGGGGTAAGCGCGAGCGTGTGAGTTTCACCACGAAACGGCAAAAATATCTTCGCTGGCAGGTACTCTCGTGGGTAGGTGTGTATATCGGCAATCTGCCGGCCGGCGAAAAATATCAATGCACCTTTTTACCCACCCCACGAACCACATAGTCCCCCTTCGACTGTCCCCACCCGTTCCAGCAACTGTCCTCCCCCGCAACCTCTATGCTCGCGATCCACCACCTACAGCCGCCCCTACCCGCCCCTTTGATCGGCGGTCGCGCCAGGAGGGCGACAAGTAAGCGCGAGGAGGCGAGTTCCCTTGAAAGAACTGCGCAAAACACACTTTCGCGATGCCACGGCCGAAGTCGTCGTTGTCGTCGTCATCGTATCCGTCGCTCGCCGTTGTCAACTTGTATATTGTTAGTGATCGTCGGCACGTTGCCGTACTCGCGTACGGCGGACCAACCGTACGATTCGATTGGCGGTAGTCAATCGAGACTTATCGCCTCGACGTGGATCAGTTTTGTAATTCGACGTGAAAAGACTTTCACATCTCGACGATCAATAGCGCGTCGTTTGTCATCGGGGGGGCTTTCTGAAACCATTGACAATTGGTGGTGAAACGCGCGATGGGACATCCACGCATCATCGGCGCATTAAACTGCCGATACGCGTTTATGCCGCGTAAACGTGCCCGTGTAATACGTTCGTCAGCTGGAGATCGTGCGTATCACTGTGTAAGTGTCGAGCGGGAGAGACATCGCGGCAGTGTTGGATCGAAGTGAAAAGCAAACGCGGAGTCAAAGTTGGAGAGAAAGAGAGAAAAGTTGTGTAGTCAAGTGTCGGGTTGTGTGTGGAGCAAGGAGGAGGATCTCAGGAGGTGGGGGTCAGAAGTATAGCGAGGGGGCACCAAGTAGTTGACGATCACCGCGGCGAAGGAGAAGAGAAAGAAAGAGAAAGAAACAGAGTGGGAATATCGTAGTAGTAGTAGTGTAGTAATAGTAGTAGTAGTAGTAGTAGTAGTAGTAGCAGTAGTAGTAGTAGTATTAGTAGTAGTAGTAGTAGTAGTAGCATCAGTAGTAGTAGTAGTGGTACTAGTAGTGGTAGTGATGGTGGTGGTGGTGGTGGCGATGGTGGGGAAACGTCAGAGTGTGCGGTCGTGTCCAAGAAAGAGGTGGAGAAGCGAACAGCAACGGGAGAGAGGGCAGCGAACAAACTACCGGGAAGAAGTCAGCGGCAAGTAAAGCAGCGCCGCCGAGGCTAAACTTCAGGATCTATCGAACTAAAATTGTCGTGTAGTTTCTGCCTCCTCTTCTCGCCCCTCCTAACGCAACCTGCCTCCCCCCTTGACCCCACCAGAACCCAACACGGTGGCAACGGCAGCATCTCGGCCGGTTGCGCCCCCTCTGGCTCGAGCACCCATCCCCTCCACAAAACGAAAGCCGAACGAAGAGGGAAGAAAGCGGTGACGGTGGGGCGTCACGAGGGACGAGGAGCGTACGACCGAGGGAGAAGAAGAGATCGGAACGTGTCGAGAAAGAGAGAGACCGAGAAACAGAAAGAGGAAAAGGAGAGAAAGAGAGGGAAGAGCGGGAATCGGAGTGAGAGGGGGTAGGCAGGGAGCGCGTTAGCTGGCCCCACGGGCGACTCACCATATTTTATTGTCGCGTTTGCCGACGCTAACCGCTGGTGTACGGCTCCGTGCCCGATCTACGAAGATGCCGACCTGACTCGGAGAGAAGAGAAGTACACAGAACACTCGGCCTACTAGTAGAGTGCGGTACGAATTCGCGTGGGTACGAGGTGCCGGTAGTGGCATCATCAGCCACCAGCAGAGGTGGCACCAGCTCCCCCACCACACCGCGCGGCGTGCCGGCCTGGACCCTCCCACCCGTCTCACCGAGGGCAAACCATCTCGCAAAAATCGTCCCCCTTTCCATGGAAGGAAAAGAACTACGGCGACGACTCTGCCACCACCACTGTCGAGCCGACCGTTTCTCGTCACTACCACCACCACCATCGGCACACTACCATCGTTATCGCCAGCGCCACCGTCACTGTACCGCCGCCTCCTCCTACACCGCGATCAACCGTCATCTCGAGGAACGAGGATACCAGAACTTACGGATTTCGATTGCGTTGTTCGCTCCTTCGACAAACGCGCTACTTACAACCCACCGTCGGATTTACCAACGCCTGTTTACATTTGCCGTGAACATCGAAAATCATTGGATGTCAGTGATGATTTAAAGAAGTGCGCGTGTGGATCGTGCTCGACGAACGATCGAAATACCTATAGTCGATCACGAATCATTGTCGTTCGTAGCGCGCGCAAAAGAAATTACTTCCACCAAGTTCAAAAGGAGAGAGGGAAGAGTCGTCGCATGGACACGCGCCCTCCTTGTACCCCCTCTAAACACGAGTGAAAACATATACATACATGTGGATGCACACGCACGCGGATCACGCAGAGGCGAAGACAGAAGTGTCGGGGCGTTATACACGTGTGAGCCGCGCCAGTTTGTAGTTACTCGTTTAGAGTGCGCGCACCGATTTCGTGATACCGTACAATCTGTGAATCAAGGAAGATTCAGATCGGCAAATTTCCAATTTATCGATTAAAAGAAAGCAAGCAAGCAAATACGAGTTTCCTCGTAGCATTGTGATTGCACGGGGTGCGAAGCAACTTCACCGTGTGAACGTATCCTACGAGTAAGGAAGGGAAAAAAAAAGGAGAGCGGTGTGCGCGAACAAGTCGATCCTCGCCTTTCCTTTTTCACAAACGTCTCTCCGTCACCATCGCTCGAGTTCTCGACCTACCACTCTCTCCCTCTCTATCTCTCGTTTCGCCTCTTGTCCGTCCCTCTAGCGCTTCCTCTCGCTCGCTCCTCCCTCTATTCTGTCTCGTTTTCTCATTCTCTCTTTCTCTCCCTCTCTCTCTCTCTCTTTCTCTCTCTGTCTCTGTATCGCGCTTTCTTCTTCGCACTCGCACTTATGTACCTCCGCCTTCCTAACCGCTGAGCGGAGGACTGGATTCCGTCGAAAAGAAACGACGATTCAGAGGATAGTCGCGACCGATCATAGCTGGCGCGTCGATCGGATCAACGACGTGAGTTAGTTACACGAACGAAACATCCACCGGCGCGTATAATACTCGGTACTCGAGTAGCGTGTTCGTATCGTAATTAGTTTATGGTTTACCAGTTTCGGCTCGTGTCACGTCATCTTTGTTATTTGGACAAGACCATCCTCTTTTTTTTCTTTCTCGATCGTCCACGCGATGGCTAATGTGAACTGTTCTCGTTGACTTACGGTTGTCATCGGTTGTCTGTGCTTGTAGTGAATCAGTCTGAAAATCAACAGTGTCATCTACACGGCTGAGTTGTGGTCGGAGATCGGAAAACTAGTCTGCCTTTCTCTCTCTCTCTCTCTCTCTGGTGCCTGCGTCTGTGACAGTGCGAGTGTATATACGACTGGAGACCGCCTTTAGTATCGAGTACAGTCGGTTACTAGACGGTGCAATAAAACGCGTGCGAGTTTACGGTGTTACTGTATTACCCACAGTGAAAAATTTCTCTCCCGCTTTTTTTGCGCTGTTTCGTCGTTTGTGACTCGACTTGGTTCTCCGATCGACGATTCTGCTCGTTTTCTCGTCGTACGTGGTGAAAGAAAAAAAA